GTCTATAATAAGTACTTGTTTTGTAAAGACCAGGGCCCCTGGGGGCGCAGTGGTTAAAGTGCCCGACTGCTAACTGAAAGGTAGGTGGTTCAAACCCATCAGCTGCTTCGTGGGAGAAAGATGTGGCAGTCTGCTTCCATAAAGATTACAATCTTGGAAACCCTGTGGGCAGTTCTGCTGTGTCCTGTAGGGTCGCTATGAGTCAGAATCGACTTGATGGCAATGGGTTTTTGGGTTTGGTAAACACAGTAAAAGGTATTAGGTCAGTGCATATCCTGATTGTTTGTATTGCCTTGTTTATTATATAACAATATGTACCCATTTTTAACCTACATTTTCAACTTATTTTATAGTAAGAATCTCTTTTTAAAAAATACCATTGTAGCAGCCAGTTCTATGTAATAAAAATACTTCTGCTGGCCAACAGCCCATACTAACACTCTTTTGCTGTTGCAGATCCAAGACTCCTTTCGAAGGAAAAACCCTGTATGAGAAAGACATTCACAAATCCCTATCCATTTGGCAGTAAATCTACTTAACAAAAAGGTTATCCTTTCAGCAGTGTACTGACATAAAGTACGGGTTTGCATATCTGTACAGTGTTAAATAACTCTTAATAAAACCCGATTTTTAAATGTCACATTGATTTTACTTGGGGCTTTAATACATCTTCTTCTAATAAAGGTGGTGACCACTACTGGCTTCTAGAGCTCATGAGCTAGGATCAGTTCTGGGGGGAGGACTGAAGGAATCTCTTCTTAGGTCTTTAAGGGTAGTGGGCCCCCTAACCTGAGAGCAAAGTCAGCAGAAGAGGGCACATGTGTACCGCTATTGCATTTGCCCATGCCAGGCTAGGAATCCCTGGATGGTGCAGATGGCTACTCACTTGGCTGCTAACTGGAAGATTGTAGGTTCGAGTCCACCCAGAGACACCTTGAAAGAAAAGTCTGGTGATCTACTTCTGAGAAATCAGCCATTGAAAACCTTATGGATCACAGTTCTTCTACCCGGGTACATATGCAGTTGCCATGAGTGGGAATCAACTCGATGGCAACGGGTTTATAGCAGCCTGTTATATGTGCTAATAGAAAGCAATCACAAGCCTATCATCCAAAAGCTTTTTTTTCTTGTTTTAGAAATGTTTTTTGTAGTTATATTAGAATATGGGAATGCCTACGTAAAAACTGGAGCCCTGGTGGCGCAGTGGTTAAGAACTCGGCAGCTAACCAAAAGGTTAGCAGTTCAAATCCACCAGCTGCTCCTTAGAAACTCTATGGGGCATTTCTACTCTGTCCTATAGGGTCAGTATGAGTCAGAATTGACTCAACGACAACGGGTTTGGTTGTTGTTTTGTTTTTAAGTAAAAACTGGGGACTTTGCAATATATGAAAGAAAAATAGTTACAAATCTACTCTGTGTCTCTGGGGCAGTAGACTTGTGTGAGACAGCCAGGTTTTCTGTATTTACAAGAATACTTTCTTGCCTTAGGAGACTAGTGTGTAAGTGTTTGGGTTAAGACGCCCTCCTGCCAGGCTTCAAATTAGGTGCATCTTGTAAAGTAAATAAAAGGTAATGGATTGTGTCCATACATGACTTCATTCCATCCTTTGAATGATTTTATCAATAACTATTAGAGGGCACGACTTAGCAATAATCATGTACCATATTTGCCTCCAGGTAATAGAGAACTGGCTTTATTTCCTAAGGTGTTTGAGGTGTGCCAGACCAAACTCCTCTTCCCTCACTGTTGGATACATCCAGTGTAGTTTTTCTCAAACAGTTAACGTTTTCCTTCTCTAGGTTTATGCTACTAATTACACTGCAACTTCTGGTACTGCCTTAAGCAAATTCACCCCTAGGTAGTAGCATCGCAGGACTCACAGGTGTACTTAATGGAGTTGCACACATTATGCTTTTATTTCTCCCCCATAATCAACATTTGTTTTCTCTGCACTGAATTTCTCTTGCCTCCCTGTGAGCTCAGACTGAATGACTTTGTTTAATTATATGTTGTGGTGAGATATCGGTGGAGGCTTGTTTTTCTAGTATTTTGCCAAACTTAATTTGTGCTCAATTTTTCCAAAACAAATTCCAATTTTTAAACTGCTGCCAGTTGGTAGAAATTTGGAATCTATGTTGTTGTTAGTTGAGTCTGTTCTGACTCATGGCGACCTCATGTATAACAGAACAAAATGTTGCCCAGCCCCGCATCATCCTCATGATCATTAGTATTTTTGAGCCCATTGTTGTGGCTATTTTGTCAATCCATCTAATTGAGGGTTTCCCTCGTTTTCACTGACCTTCCACTTTACCAACCATGATGTCCTTGGATATTTCCTGATGATGGGTCCAAAGTAAGTGAGCCAAAATCTCGCCATTCTCACTTCTAAGGAGCATTCTGGTTGTATTTCTTCTACGACTGATTTGTTCATTCTCTTGCCAGTCCACGCTTATTCAAAATTCATCGTCAACACAATTCGAATGTATCAATTCTTCTGTCTTCTGTAACTATCCTGAAATATTAAGAGAAAGATTCAGAGATTGTATTTTTTTGCAGAACATCATTTATTTAGCCATTCCTCCTAATTAGACATGGAAAGTGCAACTTGCTCTTTATTAGTTGACTATTGTGCATTTCCTAGCATCTTGCTGCCCCCTGGTGCATAACTCCAGTGAATGCATCCTTCCTTGTAGACACTCTAAGGTTTGTATTACTGTTGTCTGGCAGTCCTTTCCATACTTATTAGGGGTCTAACTATGTGATTAGACACTAAACCATAACCGCAAGGAAGTCCTCCATGGGTCCTGTTTTGCCAGTTGGATCCAATTTCTGCAGCAGGGTTTGGTTGGCCAGAAAGGTTAGATGTGAAACCGAACCTAAGCTGTCCTCTTAAGACCCCTTTAGATGGAGAGACAGGCCTGGAAACCGAATGGTCCTCGTAGAAAGCTCTGAACCTGAACAAATCTGGACCTGCTCTAGCCCAGGAAAGCTGTCTGAGGGTGACTTTGGGGATCCCAGAAGTTTCAGTATAGCTCCATGAATTGGAAGAATGGGTCTTCTGCTAAGATATATCCTAGAACAAAAGTAACAACCATACTGAGCTTCAAGAGAGAAAACCTTGGGAAAATTTCTTAACCTCTTTCAGTCTTTGTAAAACTATCCTTTAAAAAATTGATCTCCCAATGTCTTCAAGATTAATACCTATTCTATTTTTGAAGCCTCTATAAACTCTAACATGCAATATAAATCTTCATTTATCACTTTTACTGTGGCCAAGGTGGCTTATTGGATGCAATTCAAGGTCTATGGAAAGGCATTCTGACCCCAAAGACTTGCTCTTAAAACTGTTCAGAAATTATCACAAAATTGTAAACTATGTTTGTAGTCCCCATGGGGTTCTGTAAATATGACCTTGAACAAGTTATTTAATTTCATTGTGCCTTGGTTTTTCCATCTATAAAGCATAAATACACCTATTTCATGGGGCTACTTAGGGATTCAATGAGATAACATATGCCTGGCACATGGCAGATTCAAATAAATCGGGAAACTAAGATTCAGAAAGCTTACATGGCTTGAGTGCCCTCCATTGTATTATGTCTCTTTTCTGATGGTTTCCTTATATTCCATTTCCTAAGACTGTAAACAGTAAACAACTGGTTGCCATCGAGTCAGCTCCGACTCATGGAGACCCCGTGCATTTCAGAGTAGAACTGCCCCATAGGGTTTTCTTGGCTGTAATCTTTATGGAAGCAGATCACCATACCTTTCTTCCTTGATGCCACTGGGTAGGTTTGAACTGTCAACCTCTAGGTTAGTTGGTTCGCTAGTCCTGACTTGCATGAGTTTTACCTCTTTCCTCAGCACCACACAATAGATAATTTAGTGAGCTCCCCTCTTAATCTCTCCCAAAGAATGTCTTCTTCCCAAAAGAAATCATAATGGACAGAGAAAAAGGGATTACTAAACAAGAATATTATGTTAGTAATTTTTTTCTTTAAATTATTTGATACAAAATTTCATGTCCAAGTGTAATTTTTAGCCTATTTCTTGGGAATGGAAAGGATTCATTTATTAATTAGCAATGAGATTCTTGTGTTAGTTTAGGAGGAAAAGATATTTTCTAGTTCTGTGCTTTACAAAAACTTTGGGGATTGAATTTTTACCTCAGATAATGCAATAGCCCATTTGTCAACTCATTCAATATTATTCAGCATTTGACAGATATTTATTGAGTGCCTATGATGTTCCAGGCACTATTTAGAGTCCTAGGTTACATCAAGGAACAAAACAAAGATTTCAGCCCTCTTGGATATTACATCTTAATATACATTGGTGATATATATTCTATTGCTTTCCAGCAACAAATTGTCCTTGGACAACATTCCAGTGAACTTGGATAAATTGTTTTATTATTATTAAACTTTCCCAGTTTCTTAGAAGCCCTGGTGGTGCAGTGGTTAAGAGGTCAGCTGCTAACCGAAAGATCAGCAGTTCGAATGCACCAGCTGCTCTTTGGAAGCCCTATAGGGCAGTTCTACTCTGTCCTATAAGGTCGCTATGAGTCGGAATAAGTTTGGTATTTTTTTTAGCTTCTAAGGGGAGCCCTGACGGCGTACTGCTTAAGAGCTCCTCTGCTAACCAAGATGTCAACAGTTCGAATCCACTAGGCACTCCTTGGAAATCCTAGGGGGCAGTTCTGCTCTGTCGTATAGGGTCGCCATAGGGTGACTATGAGTTGAAATCGACTGGATGGCAACGGGTTTGGTTTGGTTTTTAGTTTCCTAAGGAAAGTGTTATTTAACCAAGTTGCATGAAATTTGGCACAATATCGCCTCCTTGCGGCCATTTTAACAGGGAACGACATACCCTACAGAGTCAACCCTATCTTTAAGGTAAGGTTTATAGAAAAATTATCCTGTTTTTCAGTAGAAGACTTTGACACAAAATTACCTAGTCGGGAAAATTTGGAATCTTCTTCCTTGTGATTTTGTAACAGAACGATTGGAAGGCTTCCATCGCTTTCGTGATTGGGAACCAGATTGAGGACGATCTTCTCATCCGAGCCCTCACCCTCGCCGTCCAGGTCCCTCAGCGTAAACTCTTCAGTGTGGTATCATGGCAAGACATTCTACAGCAGGTACCTGTCACTTCCTACCTCCAAGCCTTTCAAAGACTTTTTTCATTAAGATAATAGAATAAAATAAATAAAATGATTATATTCTTGGCCTGTTTTGTAAATTTTAGTGGAGTGTTTTAAACAAATATTTAGTTAGAATAAATCTGAATCATTTAATCCAGAACAATTCTTTCTTTGTCAGTGAATGTTGCCTATTCAACATTCTTGCATTTGACAAAAATTTCTGAGGCCATACCAGGCACCATGCTAAGTTCTGTGATGAATGAATTAAGAAAAGGTTAAATAATAATGAAAGACTAGACTATTTAAGGTTCCCGGGAAGTCTATGACTAATTGGAAAATGGAGTCTACAGAGAATCATAGCTGTTGGAGGTCAGAGGAGAATGATAACAAAGAAAAAATCTGTCAGATGGCACAAGCCCATACACTTAACAACAGCTCACCAGTGACTATAAATACATTATCTAGTCAATGAATGCCTGCCTATTGCTAGGTTCTCCAATCCTCTCAAATCACCTAAGCATTTGAAAGTCACACATATCCAAGTATTTGTTAAGCAAGCATGTCTTTTTCATTATAGATGAACTTAATTTCTTACAGATCGATGAGGTAAACGCACTTGGAACTGGAGCTAAGAAGGCAAAGAAGCCTGCAGGCAGTAGTGCACCCTTGTTTTATGAGGTAGGTGAAAGTGTTTATTCAAGAAATTTTTGTAATTTCTAGAAAATTAGGACTGAGTTAATAATGTTATTGCCATTCTTTATCTAATTCATTATTTAAACCAAGTCTCTGCTACTCATTGTCGGGGGGATAGTTCCTGATGGTGGGCATGTAAGAAATCTGCCTCTCTCTTTACAAAATCCCCCTCTTAGAATAAAATTGTCCTAGATTGTTTACACCATCATTACATCCAATATAAATCAGAATTTTTTACATACAAAAGTGTTGGGTCATAGTTTTTAATGATAATTACAGAGTATGTGATGGTGTTAAATTAGGGAAGTCATATTAGTTTTTTTACAAAGTGTTGGTTTTACCAAAGAAACAATGTAAAAATGTCCCAGAATGTGTTTCCTGTACAAGAAGGAGGCATAACTAGAATCATCAGTTTGTGATCTTAGTGCATATTTTACCTCCCACTTTAATCAATGTGAAGATAACTGAACTCTTTTGAATAATGGTCCATTCCATGTTGAGCAGCTGCTTAACACAAAACTCTGGCTTGGCTGACCCAGTGGGGTTGTGCAAAGGACTTAGGAATCATGCTTAGTTGAAGGGGATTTCCTCTCACCCTGCCTTGTTAATAGCTAACTTACAGCTTGTAAGAAACTATAAAAAACTAGTGATTAAATACAAGATCACTTAAAATTTGTCAGGCACTGTTTTATGGTCCTACAGACCTAAAACAAAGACTTCTGGATCTTTAGAAGACAAACTTGTTTGCATTTTATTTCAGTGATGACTAATAAACTTTTTATGTGTCTGAGGTCTTGAATGATTTCGTAACAGGCTTTTTAGCATTGCCTGAGTATTATCTGAACAAGTTTCATTGGATTTATTTACGATTGTCAGTGCTGTGAATTTTATAGCTTAACTCTTGCTCCACTGCTCTCACCATCAAGGCAAACTTATTCTGTGCTGTTGGAGTCAAATAAAGTATCTTCTATCTTTTGTTATGATGATCCGAATGTGTGTGCTCCAGTTGAAACATTATGTGATACCTGGATTTAAAACATTGGAATTTTTCTTCTGAAGTGTTCATAGAAATCCATGTCCAACTCTCAGGCCTGGAATCAATTACTCCCCTCCCCCAAAGGGCTCTTTCTTCTTCAAAGATGCTCAGTAAAAATCAGACATGATAACAGGCCAGTTTTGATGTATAATCTGGACAGGAGTTTTGACTTGGATGTGGGATAAGTGCACTGTTTCAACTCCAGAGTTAAGTTAGAAAGCCTCTCTTCTCAAATATGTGCTGTGACTCTTGGTTACATATTCTTCACTCAGAGGAGGTCCATTTCACATCTGGCTCTACCACACTTTTCCAGTGGAATATTTGGGCAATAAGCCTCCCACACCCACTCACATACCCTTTTCTGAATGGCTCCAGAAGAAAAGGGAAGGCAGGGTGGAACACCATGGAGACTGGACCTTGGGTGCACCAGAAGTTCATTAACATCAATTGCTGTAGCAAAAACGGATAAAGAACATAAAGCAAATTCAGGCTTCTGGTCAGCATCAGTCAGGAACAGATTGCACATCTAAAGAAGAGGAGCCCATTTCCAATCGCAGTCCCTTCACGCTTAGGACCTGTTCAGGAATTCTGTCACCTGGTATATCAACCCAGATGAATTGAAAAGCCGCTGGCAATGCATACAGACAGACCTGAGGTATCTGTGAGTGGCCACCATGGAAGAGGCCCAGAAGTTAAAATCTTCTTGGACCTCTGAACTTTTCACTTGCATGGGGACAGCCTGCTGTGAGACACTTGCCACAGGTGCACTCCTCAGGAGGCTATTTAGAAGTCTTAAATATACTTTCTCAAAGAGAACTTTGCAATGGGGAAGAAAGGATGATCTAACAAAATTGTTTGGGTTACATGAGAAATTCATAGAGGTTCTGCTTCCTTTTAGACCTCTATTTTTGTGGGAGAATTCAAAATAGATGTCATAAAGGCCATACAATTAAACATCTATATTTACTTCTTGCTCTAGGGTTCTCTCTTTGGCCTTAAATCAGAGCCTAGGCATTCTTACTTTATACACAATTCTAACCAATTTGGTTCTCTGGTTTCATAGCCTGTGGAGGATCAGGAGCAGCAGCAAATTAAAGTGAGACTTTACTCCAGTGCAGTTCATCCATGAGCAGTCAAACAGCATCAGAACCACATTACATATTTCCAGTAACGACGCTAAATATCTAGGCTAGCAAAGACCACATTCCTAAGTGATCTGCTCAAGTTTTCGTTTGGGTGGCTTGGTGTTGTGTACACACAGCCTCATTCTGAAGTTGTGTAATTTCCCCCGAAACCTTAGAATTTCATCTAGCCATGGTATTGTATATATGAGAGAGTCTTTATTTATAAACCACAGTGCTTTGAAAACGTGCATAGATTTGTGCTAGGGTAATTCCACAGAGACATAGCTAGAGCCCATTTGTTCATTCACCTTCTCTTTTTGGAAACCATGTTTCTGTTGTAGCAGGAAGTACTCCAAGAATGCACAGGGAAATGAGACGAGAATATTCTTCTTTGTATATATTCTCGGGAGTTTTAGCTATTATTTTATTATATTTTTTAATAGTGAAGATGAGGAGGATGTTGATTCCTGGCACTGGCATTGCATATAAGCTCCATATCCAACATGTAATCAAATAGGATTACATGTTGGAAATGATACATTTCATTCTCAATGAATGATACATATGAAAATGGATATAGAGATATTGCCTGTATTACATAATGGCCAGTTTTACCAAATATAAACAAATACATTCTTGTTCAAATACTAGTGCCAGACACTATCTAGACAGTGTGGGATGGGAGCAAATATATGATAAAGACTTCAACTTCAAAAAGCTTAAGGCTTAGTTAAGGATATTTATCTCTCTATATCTGTGTGATACATAGTAGGTATTCAATAAATATGTGTTGAAAGAGTGAATGACACAATGCAGAAAGTAGACAGTGAAGTCCATGAAGGAAGAGTGAAGTGTATGAGAATTCAGAAGAGATGAGGTTACCATTAGCCAGGGCTGGCCAAGTGAGGCGGCATCCAGAGAAACTTTGGCAGAAGAGGTGGCCCTGGGAAGAGAAGTAAGAGGGAACTGATAATTTTAGTTGTTTAAATATATTATCCCAAGTAATTCACATCACAATTCTAAAAGGAACTATAAACATCTCCATTGTACACATAGGGAAATGGAGGCTCAGAGAAGGTAGGAAGTTTGCTAATTAGAAAATTAAAGAACTTAATTTTAAGCATAGTTCTGCATGATATATACATATGAGTTGCTGTCAGGTCGATTCCAACTCACTTGACTCTATGTGTGTCAGAGTAGAACTGTGTTCCATAGGATTTTCAATAGCTATGATCTTTCTGGGCCCTGATGGCTCAGTAGTTAAGAGCTCAGGCTGCTAACCAAAATGTCGGCAGTTCAAATCCACCAGCCATTCCTTGGAACTCTATGGGGCAGTTCTACTCTGTCCTGTAGGGTCGCTATGAGTTGGAATTGACTTGATGGCAATGAGTTTTTGTGATCTTTCTGGTGGCACAGTGGTTAAGAGATCGGCTGCTAACCAAAAGGTCGACAGTTTGAATCTACCAGCTGCTCCTTGGAAACCCTATGGGGCAGTTCTACTCTGTCTTACAGGGTTGCTGTGAGTCAGAATCGACTTAACGGCAATGGGTTTGGTTTTTGATCTTTTGGAAGTAGATCACTAGGCTTTTCTTCTGAGGCACCTCTGGGTGGGTTTGAACCATCAACTTTTCAGTTAGTTGCTGAGCGCTTAACCATTTGCACCACCCAGGGACTCTGCCTCAAACATAGATTCAAGTTTTTTTCACTTTACCATAAAACACAGTATTCTTTTACTAGACTCAAAAGATCCTCAGCCTTGGTGGGGAGGTCTTGATGTTCAAATGTGGGAGAGAGCATTCTAAGAAAAGGGAACAGCCCAGACAAAGGTGCAGAAGTGGAAAAAGGCTGAATGTGTACTAAATTTGTAGTTATGTGGTCCAAATATGCACTAAATAAGAAAGGTCCCCTAAATTTGAGCATGCTGTATTTTAATTACAACCTTAAAATCCTAAAGATGGAATATATGAGAAAACATTCCAAATATTGGACTCTTGCCTGAACTTAAATGCATTTGCTAAATATGCACAAATACTTTTCTGTGTGCATGTTTGATGGCCTATATAGAGAATCTGACCTGTTCATTTGCAGGTATACTCAGGCCTGACCAAAAGGAAAAAAGAAAATATTAGGAGTTATTCAAAGCCATCTCAAATGTTCCCTACAAGAGAGGTCCATTGGTACCAAAATGCAAAGATTCTCCTCCTTGTGATTAAATCTAATACACAGTTGTCGTTAGGTACCCTTGAGTCGATTCTGACTCATAGTGATCCCATGTGACAGAGTAGAACTGCCCCATAGGGTTTTCTTGGCTGTAATCTTACAAAAGCAGATTGCCAGGTCTTTTTCCTGTGGAGCCGCTGGGTGAGTTCGAACTGCCAATCTTTTGGTTAGCAGCCCAGCCCTCGAAAGTTGTACCACAAGGGATAACTGGACATTATTATAAGACAGATGTGTAAATTTTAGGCTTTGACAACATGTCTTTAATAAATTAGAAAGAAAAAGCTACCACTTGGTCACGAGTATGTTTATCCAGTTTATCTGAACTCGGAGTCAACAGTTTTAAAGTTTTGCAATTCCACTACATGTCCCTTTTCATTTTATGATGGTGATCAGCATACCTTTCTACCTGGAAATGAGCCTGCATCCCGTGGTTTACATGTGCCTATCAGTGACTTATTCAGAAAGGACAAATTACGTTACTACCCCTCCCCTGCTGAAAAAAAGTTGCTGAAACAAAAATTGTCTTTAAAGAATAATAGTTTTAATATCCTAGTTAGGTGGCTCATTTATTTCAAAAAACTAGTCAGTTATCAAAGTTTTTCTGC